AAGGTCTGGGCTTTGGGCTACAGGTCTCCTGTGCGTATAAATCACAGCAAACTCAAAGAGAAAGTGTAAAAATGCTTGGCTAACTCGGGGCAGATGTCACTGCACGTACTGATTCTGAATTAAGAGCTGAATTATGGGAGGAGGAGAGAAAGAGGAAGGGGAGGAGGGGGAAAACTTGAAGGTACCGCCTTCTTGATTCACAGCAGATCTCTGCAATTTATCGCTTTGTCGCATCTAACCCTAAACTGTGTCTAAGTGGCTCAGCCAGCAGGGTGTTTGCACTGATCCTACAGTGCTCACTTCTCTCAGAGGGAGTTGCTTCGCTGCTGATGCTACGAAGATAAATCCGTTATCTCCCATCTTGTCTTATCGCCATCTCTTCTCTCTCCCCTCTGCGCAACTGAGTCGACACCGGTGGCATATTGGACGCGCTGGATGGCTGCTGCACTTATCGAACCGGTGTGAATCTTTTTTCCATCATCCTCATCTTCCTCTGAGACTGAAAGCAAAACAACCGCAGTAAGAATGACAGACCAGGTGACCCAAGAGTCCTACCCCGTCCCAGACCCGACTGTTGTGGATCCCTGCCCGGCAACGGTGCGGAACGGCCAGTGCGCCCCGGATGGCTTCACCAACCACAACCACCAGCAAGCCAAAACCCCCACGGAGCCTGAGTCATTCACCGTGGGCCAGGAGATGAAAATCACAGACACGGTGGAGGGAGAAGGTAACTTGACACACCTATGGCAGGTTTGGGGATGCATTGTGAAAGTTATGGATGCTCATGTGCGTGTGTGTGTGTGTGTGTGCCCTGTGGGGATGGAATGGTTATTTTTACTCATGTGAGATATTTTTAGTCTGCTCCTTGAATAATAAATGACAACCATTCATCAGCAGGATTCATACCAGACCAAATGACCAAATTCAAAGTGAAGTTTAAAGCTTTAAAATCGCTTCAGCTCTTAGACTCATTCATTCATTCATTCATTCATTCATTCATTCGCAGACATTGGCCTACATTGCCTTTGGAAAAAGTTGCCTTTTTTAAAAGACATGCAACTAGAGGCTGGTTGTTAATATGTTTCACAAACCCTCCAGTGCGCCTTTGCATTTTCTTAATCAATTTAAAAACTCTTCAGAGAATTCAAAAACAAAAAATAAACTTATTGCCTGTATTGTAATTGAGACTCTATTAAATATAAAGAATGTTTATTGGATCTGCTGACATGCTGATTAAATACTGTTTCTCCCAGTAGTCTTGCAATGTGATCAAGCATGTCTGCAATAATAATGAACTGCTGAAATGTTTTAATGTTCTGATGGATTATTTCTAAGAGCTGAAATCCATGTCTGGGATCACACTGAATGATGAGACAAGACTGATACTCCAGCTTGGAATAGCTTTTAGGATACACGTCAGGTGGCAGAAGAACAAACTGGAACTACAGACACCTTTAACATTGTGTGTATTAAAAATATTATTTGTCGTCAGTTAAATTCACCTTTTTTTTTGTAGAAAACTGACCAAAAAACCTGAACAATCTTCCCAATGTCTTTGCCTCTAGTTTTTATGTTTATGGAAAGTTTAAGGTTTTGGTTAGAAGACTCTTGTTTTTAGTCATTGTTAAACGGAACAGTGGCTTCCTGCTTGGAATGGAAAAAGAACAGCAGTCTTCTGTGTCTAGTGTCATTGTTGTCAACCTTAACCTCCATCCTGTGCAGACTCGATGGCTGTGCAACCACATCATTAAACTGCTATCCCTTTGATTATAACTGCAGCCATTAGAGGGCGCTGTTGCAATGAACCCAAACAGCAGGTCTTAGATTCTTGCAAAAACGGACCATAAATTTGTGGGGATATGTTTACAATGCCGTGGTACCGCTCATGATAACAACCAAGGCGATATAAATGAAAGTAATTACTTTAGCAATATT